ACCTCACAGAGCAGATTAAATGGAACACAAACTGTGTACATTCTACTGATGCAATTTTAAGCATGTGAATCTTTTCAACAGTGAATGGGAAGAAATTGGTTGCAATTTCAATATGGTTACCACCAAATATTTATTTAATAAATAAAACACCCAGAGCTGTACAATGAGAAAATAATGCAAAGAAAAAGTCATCCAAAAACTCCTTTTTTTTTTTTTTTCGTTCTCATGAGGAATCAGCTAGTAGTAAAACCAAATGTCTCTCGAGTTAGACAATCCATTAGGCAAGACCCAGGAAGATTTGCATTTTATTTTTTTGATTCAGTATACAGACAGCACTGCTGACATGCTATTTGGCTGCCATATAGATGTGCATTTCCCCTATTCATTATGATAGCGTGATTGGCATCGCAAAAAGAAGTCATAATTCTTAGGTATGACATCACCCAAACCAACTCCAATTGTAAAATCAAAATTTCCCTGGATCATTTTCGCCTTATGTTGATGAAGGTTTCAACAGCTATTTTGGTTCAGTTGAGTCATTTCTTGTTCCTAACCACCCCCACCCAAAAACAAAGAAACCAAAAAGCAACCAAACTAAAACAAAACACAAAAAGCAAAGCAAAACAAGAGAACAAAAGAAAAAAAAAAAACCTCAATAACCAGAATTCAGCACCAAAACAAGAACTAGAACACAAACAAATGAAAACATAGGAGGAACAGTCTCCTCTTAGTAATTTCTACTTTAAGAAGCATGGAGGGGGACACAAGGACGAGCTAGGAAGTTCTCCAATGCAGCCCTTCTGAAACAGCTGGAGGAGCAAGCAGAAGAGTCAGTCCACCAAGGAAAGGAAAAGAAGCACTGAAAGAGGTACAGCCAGGGAGAGGTGGGGAACTGTCCAAAAGGAGGAGCTTTGTGGGGGGGGGGGGAAGCTGGGAAGAGTGTAAAGGAACACCAACTGCAAGCAAGAGAAAGGCCACTAATATACAGTAAATATCATGACAAAAGACAAAAATACCAAAAAAGCAAGAAAGAAAACCATACAAAGTATGAGAGTTGGGTACCCAGAACCACCTCTCAGGCTGCCCACAGCACGGAGCCTTCCTATCTGTATTTCAGTATCTCGGTGCCCAACAAGACGTTCAGTTGGCCAGGACTGTAACCTAGCCCTACCAAAAATCCAGCATCCACTGGAGGGCGAATGTCTCTTCTGGCACTCAGTCCATGTCCAGGCCGAGGGGCCAGCCTGCTGAGTACACATCATCTGCAGGGGAGTAGGCAGGTCGAGGTGGCTCCCCAGAAGAGGACAAGGGAAACCTTGGCTGCTCCCTTCCCCAGGGTCAGGGGTGGGGGGTTTGGAGGCCGCTGCTGAGAGATCCCATTGGCGGCCACCCCCTGTGCGCTACCTCGGACCCGCTGCGACGCGGTTGGAGGGACCGCCAACGGATACTGCAATGTTTTGCCGCATCCTGGTGCCCAGAGCCGGCGCGCAGCCCCCTCCTGGGTCCCCAGCCTAGCAGACTGCGTGGCGGGGGCGGGGTACTTTGCACGGGGTCGCGAGGGCCTTCAACCCCGCTGCGCACACATTTCTCCACGCGCTCGTGTCCCACAAGGGGTAGCTGCTGGAGTTTTCTTAGTCCTCTCTAGATTCCTACGTGCAGTGGATGACCAAGAGGAAGAAATGGCTAGTTCAGTTCTTGAGGGCTTTAGCACTGGGGCGTCAATGACCCGGTTTGCAACAGTCAGTGTGACCCTGTGGTTTTGTGGCCTCTAGCTACGGCCAGGGCTTTGTACCCCAAGCCCAACTGCGCAGACCAGCTCAGCAAGTCAGAAATCACCTTAACATTTAGGCGTCTTACAAAGTGGTACTGCTAGTGCTCGCCCAGCTCTTCTGGGCTTTGAGAGTTACCCACCGGCTCCTCCTCTCTCCTTGCCTGCCTTGCTGAGTGCCTGCGGTCTCAAACAAGCCCGCAGGACACCGCCTGGAACCCCACATCCAAGTGCAGGCATAGTGCCTAAGAGTAGGGCACTGAATGCAATGCCAAACCCAGCGCTTTGGCCCCTACCTCTCCTGCGGCCACACACTTTCCCTGCTGCCCCAGCCGCCCAGGGGGCAGGGATGTTAAGAACACCCGATTCTTTCAGTCTTCAGGGACAGGCGATCGCGCTGTGGGCAGGCAAGTACGAGGTGTGTGTCTGAATGGAGACGGGGGTTAGTCAACACGTTCACTTTGTCCACTCAACGGGCCCCAAACCACCCCGACTCCAACTAAAAATAATAAGGTACCTGCTTCTCGCCGCGCGAGCGCGCACATACACTGTGCCAAGCCCAGCCGGGAAGAGGCAGCGCGCCTTTCCTTGCAGCTTGAGCAGCCCCCGCTTGAAATTCACCCACCTCTTGAGCCCCAAGTCTCATGGACGACCCGTCGCTCCGCGACTCGCGCAGCAGATTCAGTGACGGTCTCTATGCGGTCTAGAATCGAGCTTCTTGGTGCTCACAGGTCAAACCCACCGACCAAGCAGCCTTTCGCAAGCTAGCAGGCGGGCAGAGGCGCGCGCGCGCACCCGGTCAGACACCGCGCGCGCACCCAGACCCTCTCACACGGGCTGCACCTTTACATACACGCGCTGAATCCCCGCCCCCGCCTCCGCCCCCGCCCCCTGGCACGCAGGCAGCCCTCCCTCTGGACACCCCACCACTTCCATCCCGGAACATTCCTGAGCCCCTGGACCCTTCAGTAGACACCCACACTTGATTCCTTTTCTACCAACACATTGGGAAAGACAAGAGCCGCTTTCCTCATCTCATCCTTCTCCTCTTTTTCCTAAAACATTCCCTAGGGAGGAGCGACCCCGATCCTCAGACATAGCAACCCCACTTTCCCTAACGCAGTTGCACTAACCTCCATCACCCATCACCGGATCACATAAGCAAACTCTAGTCCTTTCTCTTCCTCCAGCACCCCAAGAAGGATGGAGAGAGAGAGAGAGAGAGAGAGAGAGAGAGAGAGAGAGAGAGAGAGAGAGTTTCTCTGAGGGAGCAAGAACCCAGAAAAAAACAAGAAACAAAGAAACCTTGGAGAGCCTCAGTCAGTTAGTGGGATTTCGGGGGGCGGAGGGGGGGCACGTAGGGTCTTCCAGTCAAGGCGGAATTGAATAATTCCAAGACAGAGGGGGTGAGTCACCGACAATGACATTGAAATGCTACCACAGTACTTGGGTTTTCTATTACAGATACGGTACCTTTGGCTAATTGTCACCCGGCAGAACAGGGGGCTCTGGGAATACTTCTCGGTAAGAGGCGGTCCTGGATGGAGTCTTCTTGAGAACAGTTTGCTGGATCCAGTTGTATTTGCACTCCCCCTACCTGTCTGCCCATGAGGGGCCTGGGTCTTTAAGGCAAAAGTGTGAGGCTTTAGCCCAAAGTGAGATTATTTAGCAGGGTTAGGAGGAGATGGGTTAATTCTATGTATGTTAGAACTCCACAGGCCTTCGGAGCTAAAATGGTTAAGCAGAATGACTAAGGAACTGGGGGTGGGGACAGGGGGTTAGGGATAGAGGAAAGGGATGAGTGGGACTAGGAGAGATGCCGCACTTGCGACCAAAAGGGGGAAAAAAATCGCTCTGGCTACTGAGCATGCCCAGTTTCAAGCAGAAGCCCTATAAGGGAGGCATTGTGTGCATTCCACTTTCCAGGCTTTAGTGATGACCAGGAGGGGACTTGGGGGGCGGGGGGTGGTTGGGAGACGTTAGGCAAGAGGGTGGAGGAGCCAAGGTTTGAAGCATTTAGGCTGTGCAGAAGGGACTGTGAAGAGTGAAGGGGAAGGGAACTTAGGAAAACACCGGCGAGACAGAAGAGAGGAAGTGGGCTAAAATAAGTCACTTCTGTAGCCTCTACTTTCTATACTAGGAGGCTTTAGCAGCTGACTGTCAAATATCTAAAGGCTGCAGATCCAAACCCCAGACAGTCTAAATCCTTGTGCGCAATGTTTAATGCTTGCCCAAGAGTGGAGGAATGTCCTGAGGAAGAGCTAATGTTCAAACCAATTTCCTGCAGATTGGTAATTTAGTTAAGAAAACAAAGAAACCCAGGAGATGGGGGGCGAACGAATTTAGCTGGCTGCACAACTTCCAAATAGCTAATTTCTAAATAAGAAGGGTAAACTGATTTTGCTTCCTTCCCCCAATTGCTATTTTATAAGTGTTTGGCTAAGAAAAACAAGTCTCTCTTTACTTTCTGTCTGTTGGGAAAAATGCTTTCAGGTAAATAGGTCTAAGTTACAAATAGGAAGCTTTTTTCCTAGGATACCTGACAGCCTCTTCTTTGCCACAATTTTAGGCCTATTTCTTCAAGACCCATGTTCTGCCCAGTTCACTTATTCAAATGGCAGTGGTTTTAGCCACAGTAGGGTATGCTCAGTATTAAGAAATTCTTTGTTTAAAAATGATAAACTCTTTGCTCAAACTAGCAATAGCTTTGCTGCCTGCCTGAATTGCTACAGTTAAATATTTACAACTGGTTGATGTTTAAAGGACCTCGAATTGAATAAAAAAAAGTCAATGGAGAACGGATTAATTATATTATTTTCAGCAATGGCCCGCCTTCTTTATTGTCTGTATGGTATCCGTGTTTCGTTGCTTTCATTTTTGACGTTTTCTGAAGCTGCCTTTAGTTTATGTTCCGGGAAATGCAAAGATTTGTTAAATGCTACATGCTTAACAGAGATGCACAACCAGTATATAAATAAATATTTAAATAGATATGTTTGTAGACTTAGATCTTCATGTCCTTTTTCTTCATGCGATCTTCATAAAGAAACTTTTCTCCAACCTCCACTCTCCATTACCTTGATTTTTCATTCTCTTCTCTATTAAAAACATCCTGGAAGTAGAAATTGAGTGGGAAGCAATGGTAAAATTTGCTCTATTCAGTGTGAAACCCATTATGAAATAGCATTGCTTAAAGAAACACTAAAGGATCTGTCCATAACCATATGCACTGTTGCATCTTCTCTTACTAAGGTGAAATGTGTTTCCTCCATAGGTAACAGCTGCGATATGTTGAAAAATTCTTCTACTGTTGTGCATTTGAATAAAACAGATCCTGCTAATTAAGAACTCAAATTTGCATTATATTGAATAATGCAATTTAGAAGTGGTAATAGGTAACAAAATGTTGGCATATTTTAAATGCAAAGGCTTTAAGAAGCTACCATATATTTTATGAGGGTATGTGAATTGTTTGTCCTTTACAAAAATGTTAACAAGATTCAGTAGAAGTTTTACCTGAGATTGTAATGCAAGGTTCAAGTACTGAGATGGCTGAAAAGGCCAAATTTGGACAGTAAATATCAAATGATTTAAATGCCTATCTTTATTCAACTTTAGAAACTGTTCTGAGGCTTGGCTACATTTAATTTCAATTTCTCTCCAAAGTTATTTTTTTCATATGGCTATGGACATATAAGTCTGAAAGCAAGAACACCCAGAACACTGAGAAATCACAAAAGTATCAATGCTAAGAGTGGATAGTGACTGGTATTTGAATCATTAAAACACTTTTAGCCAGGTGTGGTGGCACACACCTTCAATCCCAGCACTCAAGATGCAGAGGCTGGCAAATCTCTGTGAAATGTAGTCCATCCTGCTCTACATAGTGAGTTCCAGGACAGCTGGGGCTACAGAGAGACCCTGTCTCAAAAACAAACAAGCAAACTAACTAAAATAAAGAGATAAAAAATAAAATAAATTTTACTACTTAAATGATATTAAATGTACACAAAAATAGAAGTAACAATTGCCTGCTTTAAGCTTGTTTTGTATGAGAAGCAATTTAATTAGAAAACCTTGAGTCCTGCTTATTTCACCCGCTTCCAAGATGCACATACAGCATCCACATAGAACAACAGTAAACAAAATTGTAGCTTATAAAAGAAAATATATAAATGAAAAACTGCTAAGAAAATTCCAGCATTATTATTGATGGTAACTGAAAAACCACAAAGTGGATGTCCTTCTTGAAATACATGAATTCAAATATGTACTGTTTGTTAAACCTCGCCTCATTTGTCCAAATATTCTCCTGAACTTAATCTTTGCTAGGAAAGAGTATACTTAAATCTACAGTGAGTGTCTCCTTCTGGACAAAGAAACAATTTAACCAGGATTATAAACAAAATCCTGAATATCCTGAAAGCCAAATGCAGCTTCTGACATTAAACACCAGCAAGACTAAATGATTATAATGCCACAACTTGGTCCTTCACAATGGCCTTTCTTTTAAATAACATTTCCCATTTATTCTGCCTTGTTCTGTTATTACTCTTTAACCTTAATTTGGGTATGCAGATACCATAGATTATTCAAGTTAATGTTGAAGATTCGTTTATCTTCTGGCATTTTAACAACTTAAAAATTCTCATTTCCCATTTCTCTAAATGGAACAGAAAATACGTCCTTAAACTGTTAATAATCTGGGAAGAGCTGTTTCTATTATCAAACAAGTTTAAATGATCTTTGGTTCATAAAACCAAATAAGTTTTTTAAACTTTAGAAAGTCTCAAAACATTTAATTAGGTGAAATTTAATTTGTGTTTACCAAGGGACAAGGAATAAGTATGTAACAAACTTATTTGAAAACAAAATCTGTTTATTATCATTACAGTTTGGAAACCTTATATTGATTGTTTATTTGCTCAAATTTGATGGAATTTAGGAGGTGAAAGAACTTTCAGGTCCTAATTTAACAACCCATATATAATGGTTGTTTCTACTTAGTGAATGCCTTTTCTTAACCATATTGCCTACAGAGTTTTTTTTTAGCTCCAAGCACAATAAAAGGATTATTATGACTTTTTAAAAAATACTTTCAGGGAAGCTAAATAATTTTCTGGGGAAAACAGTAAACTACTAACAGTCAGGGTTTGACACCAGGTCTTTGAGATCTTCTCTACTCTCCAAAAGCTCTTCTCTATAGGAAATTCAGGGCACTTTCTACTTTGACAGTAGAATAGATTTAAAGAATGATAGATTTTTCAAAGGTAAATATGCAAGGCATAAATTTTTTAAAATATTAAAGTATCAATATTTAAGTGCTGGAGATAACAACTGTCTCTAAGTTCTGTAACTCCAGTTTCAGGGAATCTGATGCTCTCTTCTGACCTCTAGGGGCATTATACCGCACAGGGGCACTGACATACATGCAGCAAATTTAGTCATACACATAAAATAAAAACAATAAATTATTAAAAATATTTAGCACAGAAAAATAAAGTGAAAAACAATTCACATCAGTTATGTATTACAGAATGTTTTAAATCAAACTGAGTTTTACCCTTTGTCAGTAGGGGGCTGGATGCTTTCTTTCCTACTAGTCTTCTGATTTTCATACTTGGGTCGATCCTTATGTGACAGATGTCCCTTGTTAGGAACAGTTGCTTTTACTACTTAGAAATAGAATCATGTAAAGGAGTAATGTTCATTACCAGGCTTATTCCAGGCTTGTGACTAAAGAACAGTTATCCAATATGACTGAGTGAACTGGAATATGTGTGATTGATTAATCTTCTAATTAGAACATATCAACTAACTTGACCTTTCATTTCCCCCAGAGTTCCTTAGAAATTAGCTAGTAGCTTACTGTTGTATTAAAAAAGTACATGGTGAGGGGTGCATATTGAAGTCTGTGTACTCTGTTCATTTGGACAGTCATGATATTTCATTCAAAAATTATTTGTAGAAGAACAATAAAGAAGTATGTGTTGTGTTGAAGAATCTTTGTTATTTTATCTCATAAAGAGTGCTTATTCATAGGGCTCACTGATGCCATCTTTATCATCTACAATATTATTTGGCTACGCCACAGATGGTAATATGATAACATCTCTTCTGTTAAAATTTCTCTGTTTGTTCTCCAAGTTACAGAATTCTTGACTTTCTTACATCTTTCTTACTGGCTGTCAAACATGAGAGCACAATAACAAGCTGAGCTTCCCTCAGATGACTCTAAGATAATAAAGATGATGAAATAAAAATATGACATTAACAGCAAAACACTCTTCTTTGAGAATTACTTCCATGGGCTGTACAAGTTCTATACCACTAAACAAAACTTTGTCAGAAACACAGAAACTTGGTGAAAATCCTTTTGTTTTTAAAATTCTCAAATCTCTTTAGGGAACAGGAGTAATGTCCCCATTCAGTAAGATGTTACTTTTTCCTTGCAAAAATATTGAGGGTCTTGTGTTTGGAGACATATCTCAGCAGGTAAGAGCACTGGCTGCTCTTGCAGAGGACCAGGGATCAGTTTTAAGCATTCTCATGGTGGCTAACAACCATTCATAACTCCAGTTCCAGGGGATCCAACATCTTCTTTTGGCTTCCCCAAACACTGTAGCTATCATTGCACTTACACTCATATAGGCAGGGCACTCATACACATAAAATAAACATGAATAAATTAAAATTAAAATTATTGAGGATGTTTTATCATAATACTTTTATGGGAATATTATTTGGCTCTTGCTACCTACCCTATTGTCTTGCTTTAGAGACCCCTAGGACAATACAAAATTTGG